TCTTAAATGCACATTACTCATTACCAAATAAAGCTATTGATACAAAAATTCTATTTCAAGATTTTTGCACGATCGGTTCATAACACACATTACTTATTACTAAATTACGATATAGATACAAAATTTTACTGAAATATAGCTTTCATTTCCAGAAGTTTTGCTTAACGAATTTTTTACGATCGGTCTATAATTGGTCATATCTCCCATACTAGGTCCTGCCCCTAAAACCGTATTTAACTAGTTGCATTATCAATTTGTGTAGAACAAAATTATATATATGTATTTTGATAATCCTTAAATCTTTCACACACATGCATACATGCAAATTAATAAAAATCGCCAAGCGTTGGTAATGTTCAATAAATCTTGGAATTGTAATAGATTTGAGCTGTTTGAATCTACGGATTTTTCTATTTAAGATATGAGAAAACTTTTTTCTACAAATATTTGATCAATTAGAAAAGTATTAATATAAAAGCAGCTGGTGGAGGGTATTGAAGATTCGGCTCAGCCGAATATAGCACTCTAACTTGTTTTTTTTTGCACTTTTTTGACCGTCATTTTGCACTTTATTCTGAGGGAGTTCTGGCAACACTGCTCTTGAGTATTCTAGTATTTTCGTGCTCTTGTAATCCTCATCTCTTACTTATTACCACTTACTACTCACAGTACACTCTTGTAATATAAATTTAATACCTTATAGCCCTGATCGGCAAAGAGCTTTGTTAAGAGCTTTCTTGCACTCTTAATTTCACACGCATGTATGCTTACACATGTATAAAAAACGATAAAAACCAGTAAGAGAACTTATTTTTTACTCTCTGCCGATGTAGGCTCTATAGTTCACGTTCATGAATGAAATAAACAAGATTGCGACACCGACAATTCAGTTATTTTAATGTACTCTTTTACTCTTTTTTCGTGACGTCAACAGTGCTTGTTTTGCTATGTTTTAAATGTAAAATACTTACTTTTCACATGAAATTTGAAAACAAATAGTGAAAAAATAAAAATAAGTAAATTAAAAATTAAAATGTGGTGTGCAGTCAAATATTGCAATAATATTAATAATAAAAAATCAAAATCGTGTCCAATAAGTTTTTTTAACTTTCCTTCAGATTCTAGCTTATTAACGCAATGGATAAGTTTTTATTGCCGCAATAAAAAAATTAACGTTAAAACGTCTAAAATCTGTATGGAGCATTTCAAAACCGAAGACTTTGAAAACAATTTACAATTCGAAATGGTTTAGTATGAAGCAAATGATTTCTGTAATAAATAGATTAGTCCCTATTATATTTAAATAAGTTAAATATTTAAATAAGTTAAATATTCATAATAACATAAAACGTAAATTACATTTTATTTTATTAGACATAAATAAGTTTTCAACATAATTATTTACTTTTCTATTATAAATCACATACAATTTTCATATCATACAATCAGTTTTAGGCACTGATGACGTCACTGAGCTTAAGAGTACTTTTTAAGGAGAGCCATGTCGCCATCTGTGTTTATTTCCCTGATCGGCAAAGAGCTTTGTTAAGAGCTTTCTTGCACTCTTAATTTCACACGCATGTATGCTTACACATGTATAAAAAACGATAAAAACCAGTAAGAGAACTTATTTTTTACTCTCTGCCGATGTAGGGTTTATTTCTTTATGGTTCACGTTACTTTTTGAGCTCTAAAATTATCACTCAAGAGTTTTAGTCTCTCTTGTACTGTCCCTTTTATATATCTCTTACTATATTGTTGTGAGCTTTAACTCCCTATATTGTTTATTCAGTATTGCCGCTGCAACATATTTCAACATTCACCTATTATAACAAGTTAGAGTGCTATATTCGGCTGAGCCGAATCTTCAATACCCTCCACCAGCTGCTTTTATATTAATACTTTTCTAATTGATCAAATATTTGTAGAAAAAAGTTTTCTCATATCTTAAATAGAAAAATCCGTAGATTCAAACAGCTCAAATCTATTACAATTCCAAGATTTATTGAACATTACCAACGCTTGGCGATTTTTATTAATTTGCATGTATGCATGTGTGTGAAAGATTTAAGGATTATCAAAATACATATATATAATTTTGTTCTACACAAATTGATAATGCAACTAGTTAAATACGGTTTTAGGGGCAGGACCTAGTATGGGAGATATGACCAATTATAGACCGATCGTAAAAAATTCGTTAAGCAAAACTTCTGGAAATGAAAGCTATATTTCAGTAAAATTTTGTATCTATATCGTAATTTAGTAATAAGTAATGTGTGTTATGAACCGATCGTGCAAAAATCTTGAAATAGAATTTTTGTATCAATAGCTTTATTTGGTAATGAGTAATGTGCATTTAAGAGATTTTCGAAAGAGGACCTTGTGTATATAAAAACAAAATTTCAAAATTCTATATCTATATCATTATTTGGTAATTAATATTGTACATTTAAGTAATTTTCTGGAGGGGGCCTAGTATGAGAGCTATGACCAAGTATGGACCGATCGTAAAACAATTTTATAGTGTAATTTATGTATATAAGAGCAATATTTGTGCTAAATGTATGGATATCAATATTTTGTAATGAGTTATGTGCGTTTATGTGATTTTCGGGAGGGAACCTTGCATGGGAGTTATGACCAAGGATGGACCGATAGGAAAAAAATTCCACAGTGATTTTCGGGAGGGGACCGTGTATGGGACCGATCAGAAAAAAAATTTCTCAGTAATATTTCTGTATGTGAGAGTAATACATGTACCAAATTTTATATGGATATCTTAATTTTGTAATGAGTTATGCGCGTTTAAGTGATTTTAGGGATAGGACCTTGTATGGGAGCTATGACCAATAATGGACCGATCGGAAAAAAAATTCACAATAATATTTCTGTGCACATGAGTAATACTTGTACCAAATTGTATATGGATGTCTTATGTTAGTAATGAGTTATGCGCGTTTAAGTGATTTTCGGGAGGGGACCTTGTATGGGAGCTATGACCAATTATGGACCGATGGAAAAAAAAATGTCAAAGTAATACTTCTGTATGTGAGGGCAATACTTGTACCAAATTTTATATAGATAACTTGATTTAGAAATGAATTATGTGCGTTTAAGTTATTTTCGGGAGGGGACCTTGTATTGGAGCTATGTCCAATTATGGACCGATCCAGAAAATTTTTCTCTGAATGATTTCTATTGTCATAAGATTTTAATTTGTAAAATTTTGTAAAGATTTCGACATTGTGACGGAAGTTATTAATAAAAAACCCATTTTCCGGGAATATGTACTTTTGTATGGGAGGTATATGAAATTGTGGACCGATTCAGGCAATTTTCAGCGGGAATCAAGCTCTTGTATAGAAACGAATGTATGCTGATTTTCATGGAATTATCATTCACAGTTTTCGAGAAAATTACATCAGAATGTGTAAAAAATGCTTATTTTTTTCGAGGTTGTTTCAAATTTTGATTCATAACTTTTCCCGGTGTGAACCGATTTTGCTCATTTTCAATACCAAACTGTCTAGGACAATAATAAATATTTTGGGAGAATTTCGTTAATTTTTGTTGCTTCGTGTTAACGTGAGAATGTTTTATACAGACAGACAGACAGACGGACGGACGGACGGACGGACGGACGGACAGACGGACATAGCTAAATCGACTCAGAATTTCATAAGGTCCAAGAATATATATACTTTGTTGGGTCTCAGATGAATATTTCTTGGTGTTACACACGGAATGACAAAGTTATATATACCCTCTATCACCACTGATGGTGGTGGAGGGTATAAAAACAAATTAATTGATATTTAAAAAAAATAATAATAATAATCATATAATAGTTATATTTGTTTACAATACTACTATTATTAATTTTTATAAGTACCTTTTTCACTTACGCAAAGTTTTCTTAATAGTTTTTCCTTCTCGATTTTACGCAATCGAGAACTGTAAAGAACTATTATTTCGATCTAAAATTTTTTATTACTTCTACTTTGTTATAGATAATTATAACAATGATATGAATAATATTGTGGTTTTTATAATCCGTTTACTTTTCGTGTGATAATATTAAATCTTATTTTTTCTGAATCATTCAATAATTTTGGCCGTAATAGTTTATAATATTCAGCTTAGGTAAATACTTCTCGAAAACACTGGTTTTTTATTTTTGTGTTTATTTTTCTTCAATGAGTATAATTACTTTGGAAATATTGAATGAGAAATATACAATACATATGTACAATACATATATATTTTTGGAAAAAATACAATAGGTTTGTTCATTTGTTTTACCATCTTTATTTGCTAAAGATAATTTTTAAATTTATTGTCAATTCAAACCATCATCGATTAAACAAGTTATCAGTAAGTTAAAATATAAACTTTGTATTGGAAAATTGTGTATTACATTATGAATACAATTGTGTCAAATGTATTTTTTATAAAGTTTGACAACACCTTTCTAATAGTAAAATATACAATTACCACTGTAACCTTTGAATTTTAAATACAATTTGTTTATCGATCTCATCAACCGACCTAATCTTTCATTGGTATATTGGAAAAGTAAAAGGTTAATGACCCTTATCTCAACGTAGTTCCAATAACAGCTGATCCTTAGTGCAGTCATTTAAGTTAATACAATCTCCCTTAGCTGCAGAATTGTAAATATATGCATTGGTTTATACATAAATCCCAGTTTATTAGCGATATTTATAACTACATCTGCATAAAGTACATTTGCAAAACAATATTTATTGTTAATTTCATATTACAAAGCCAAATTTCAAGAAAACTTTAATTTTTATTGTTCAGTTGCGGTCGACTACTGTTGTTGAGCATTTTTTAGGATTTTCATCGGTTTCCATAAGAATTAATTACTTTTGGCATAGTTTATTTCATTTTCTTTTACTTCCATTCTCTTAATATTTCGGCTTTTGTTTATTAAGCATTTCTTTCTTATTAGTTAAATACGAACTTATACCAAAATGTCCCTAGATCATTTTATACGATTATCAGATAATATTGTCGAGTTCGAAGTGGATCTTAACGATAACCAGTATCCAAAGACTTCGATTCATGCACTAGAAGTGCATCGTAACGAACTTAAATCAAACTGGGATCAAGTCAAGAGCGCTTACGAAAAATCCCTATTAGAAGCCGAAAAGGAAGCAGGAGAGTCGGATGAGCCACTAGAACTTGAGTCTTTCAAGGTTAAGTATAAGAGCACTTATACTACATTCTGTAACTGTTTGACAAGATTGTCTGAAATTTCAGATACGCTCCATAGGCAATCAACAACCGATGTGGTTCAACCACTAGGTTATAGCCCAGGTATATCTCGGGAACGTGGTCTCCACTTACCTCTTGTCGAAATCGAAACCTTCAGTGGCGATTATGCTTCCAGGCCCACTTTCTGTGACATGTTCACAGCTATTGTTTCTAATTCTAGGTCTAGTAACGTTGAAAATTTGTTTTTCTTAATTCAAAAGACAAAAGGTGAGGCTAAAGACATTGTCCAAAAGTGTCCACTGACTAATCAAGGATTCGATTTAGCGTGGAATGATTTGTGTTTGAGATATGATAATGGCAGGGTTTTGGTAAATGGGCAGCTAAAAATCTTGTTTAATCTTAAGTCCGTCAACTCAGAATCAGGCAGGACTCCTAGGAAGTTACAAAGAGACATCAATTCATGTATCTCTATCCTGAAACTCCATAACATAGATGTTGTTAGCTGGGATATCATTTTCGTGTTTCTTTGTACTAATAGGCTACCTGAAACTACTCTAACACTCTGGGAACAAGAGTTAGAGGATACGACCACTCTTCAAAATGGTTAGATTTGGATGGTTTCCTCACCAGAAGATATCGAACACTGGAGTTTGTTTCCGAAATTCCTGGTTCTCATAATACAAAACCCAATGATTCAAAGTCCAAGAATCAGTCGAATTCAAACTTAAACAAAAGGGTTCATAGCTTTCAAACAAATGTTTCAATCCCAAAGTGCCAATTATGTCCAAAAGAATTCCATGCCTGAAATTCCGTTAGCAGATCCTAATTTTTACTCCAGTTCGAAGATTTACATGTTAATCGGAGGAGATATTTTTCCATTAGTTGTTCGTTCTGGGACTATGCATCATGTTTGTCAGTCCTTTTAGCCCAAGAAACTATCTTCGGATGAATTCTAACTAGGCATGTTTCCTCTCACTCTAGTCCGACCTTAACAGTCAATTCACATTTCTGTGAAATTTCCTTAGACAAGGAAATTTCACGTTTTTGGGAGGAGGAGGATCTTCCGAAGATGAGATTTATGTCTGCCTCCGATGAAGCCTGTGAGGAGTTGTATCTTCGAACTACAAAAAGAAATGCTAATGGACGATATATAGTTTCTCTTCCATTCAAAAAAGATTTCTCAAAATCTTTGAACATAGGACAATCTAGGTCCAGTGCCATGGCACAGTTCTTTCGCAATAAAGCAAGACTAATTCGAAATCCTAGTCTCAAAATTCAATACTACAATGTAATCCGAGAGTACGAGGAGCTTGATCACATGTTCAAAATCGATTTATCGAATTTTCCTGACAATCATAATGTATATTACCTTCCTCATCATGCGGTTATCAAACCCGATAGTGTCATTAGGAAAGTTCGTGTAGTTTTCAATGCTTCGGCTCCTTCATCCAATGGGCAAAGTTTGAATTCTCTGCTGCACATAGGACCAGTTCTACAAAATGATCTCATAGTTCTTATTCTTCGATGGCGTTTTTTCCAATTCGTATTTAATGCCGACATTCAACAAATGTTTAGGCAGATTTTAGTAAACAAAGATCATACCCTATTGCAAAGAATCGTGTTTCGTAGTCTTCCAAATGAAGCTATTTGCGATTATGAATTAAAAACTGTTACATATGGGATTAATTGCGCGCCGTACCTTGCCATACGAACCTTACTTCAGTTGGCCAATGATGTTTAGTCCACCTATTCCATTGCTAGTAGTATTCTGAGGAATTCGATGTACGTTGATGATGTCCTCACTGGAGCTCATACAAAAAAAGATTCCATAAAAGCAAAAAATGAGTTCAAGCTCTAGAATCCGCCGGCTTTTCTTAAAGAAAGTGGACATCCAATTCTAAAGACATTATATCAGACATTCCACCGGATCATCTTCTTCATAAGAATTTTTTAGAATTCGAAGACAGTAGTTCCACAAAAACTTTATGAATCCGATGGAATGCTTGTTCGGATGAGTTGTTCTTCGTGGCAGATGCATTTCCGGAATCTTGTAACTTTACGAAGCGTGAAGTTCTATCTCAAATAGCCAGATTGTTCGATCCTGCTGGGTGGTGAGCACCCTGTGTTGTCCTTGCCAAAATGTTGATTCAGAAGATTTGGATAAAGGGTACTGGTTGGGACGAAGTAATTTCTTCTGACACGTTACATCAATGGAAAAACTTTCAATGCATCAGTAATATTCGCATTCCCCGATGGATTGATTATTGTCCTAAAGCCGAGATCCAATTCCATGGATTCTGAAAAAGAATACGCTGCGTCATTGTACGTTCGTGTAGCAGATCGTAATCTCGTTACAACCCATCTTATTGCGTCTTAAACTAAAGTTGCTCCCATTAAAACTCTTCCGATACCTCGACTAGAACTCTGCGGAGCAGTTCTATAAGCAGATATGATAGAAAAGTTAGTACCAAAACTAGTTGTCGAGAACTATTCCATTTTTTGCTGGACTGATTCAACCATCGTCTTGTCTTGGTTAGCCAAACCACCTTGTAATTGGTTAACATTTGTTGCAAACAGAGTGTCTAAAATTACTCAAGTCTTACAATACTCAAAATTGAACCATGTCAACTCTGAAACAAATCCAGCCGATAATGCTAGCCGTGGTGTTTACCCAGAGGCTTTAGTGAATAATGAACTATGGTGGTTCGGACCACAATGGCTCAAAAAGGAAAAAGCCAATGGCTCAAAAAGGAAAAAGTCTGGCCTAGTTCAGACTTGTCCAAAATTACTGAAACTCTGCAAGAAGTTAAGTCAGTTAAGGTGCATTTTTCATATTTTTCAGACTTTGAGGACTTGTTAGAACGATTTTACTCCTATAACAGAGCTATGCGGGTCTTAGCGTGCGTTTATTGGTTCTACTATAGAACACATAGTAGTTATCGTTCAAGTTTCGTTAAAGATTCGATAGTTCTTTCAAGTTCAGTGATTATTTTTATTCGAGACATACTTATCTCTGCTTGTCAAAAGGCTTGGTATCCTAATGAATATAAAGCTCTCGCAGATAACCAATATCTTTTAAAATCCAGTAGTATTTTGAATTTAAACCCTTTTTGGGTTACAGAAGGTATAATTCGATCGTGTGGACGCCTTGAATCTTCCCCTGGACTAACCTACAATGAAAGGCATCTTATTATAATCCCGAATAACTCTCAATTTTCGAAACTTCTCGTCAAATTTGTTCATGATGTAAGTTTGCATGGAGGTAATCAACTAGTACTGCGTTTGTTAAGGACTCATTACTGGATTCCAAAGGCAAAGAATTTAATAAAATCCACGATTAACAAGTGCAAAACCTGTATTATATACAAGAAGAGGTGTCAGCAGCAAATAATGGCGACCTTGCCATCCACGAGAGCTAAGATAACTCGTCCATTCACACATACCGGTCTGGATTTCGTAGGACCTTTTGATATCAAAAGCTATTTCGGTCGCGCATGTCGTATTTCTAAGGGATATGTTTGTGTATTCGTATGCTTTTCCACCAAAGCCATCCATTTGGAAGAAACCTCTGAATTATCCACACAGGCATTTCTAGCGACTTTTAGTAGAGCTTCGTTTCACGTAGAGGTTGTACATTTCATATTCATTCAGACAAGGGTAAAAACTTCGTCGGGGCTTCTAAAGTATTAGCAAAAGAGTTTATACAGACTTCCAGCAGCGCATATTGGCCAATTACGCTCTTCAAAATATTTCATGGCATTTTTTTCCACCAGGAGCACCTCACATGGGCGGACTATGGGAGGCAGGTGTAAAAACCTTCAAGACCCATTTCCGAAAGATCGATGGGTGTTATAAATACACATGTGAAGAATTTTCCACGCTTTTGTTCAAAATTGAGTCTTGTTTGAATTCTCTTCCAATTTCTTCTATCTCGACCGATCCATCTGATTTATGCTCCTTAACCCCCGGACATTTTCTCATTGGAAATCCGATTTTAGCTCCAGTCGATCCTCAAATTAATGATTCAGCCGTGTCTTTAACAAACCGTTGGCAACGTCTGAAGCTAATACATCAAAATTTTTATTGTAGATGGATACCTTACGGAGATGAACAAACGAATAAAATGGCAGAGACCTGAACTCAACCTAGAAAAAGGTGTTATGGTAGTGGTCAAAGATGAGAATCTTCCACCAAATTCTTGGCGGCTTGGTCGAATTGTAAAATCTTATCCTGGTAAGTAAGTAAGGGTTGCTGATGTTTTGACTCAACGCGGTTTGATAACTAGGCCTATTGTATAGCTTGTAATCTTAGTCGTGTGTCGAAAGGATTGATTGATAAATTGAAGCTAAGAGCATATACGTTAAACGAAGAGACCATATGTCCAATTGTTCTTAAATCGCGTTATGACACGTCATCCAAAATAGAAGGCACCTTTAGAGTTGACAATCGCATTTCTCTTCGAACACCAGCACAATCTCTTTCAGAATCCTATAGAAAGGAATTTAAGGATTTGTTCCTAGCAGATTCAAATTTCTATGTATCTGGTCCAGTTGACATTATAATAGGAGTAGATATCTATCCAAAGGTAATATGTCAAGGAGTTTTTTCCAGGACAGGTTTTCCTACAGCGCAGAGCACAGTTTTCGGATGGACAATATATGGTCCATGCACACTATAAATTTTAGAAAATGCACTTTTTAGGCAGGATACAGCAAAATACAAACTGTATCTTTACACCATAATACATATTGTGATTTTTTAGAGTATAAACCATAAATGAATTGTCCATTAATATAAGTTTATAATGAATTACGAATTAATAATGAAGTATATTTAACAAATTCTCATTTCTATCTTATTATATTCAGGAAACAACATCGTGGTCGTGGCCAAGCTGACTTTGTTAAAATTTTGTTGCATATATCCTGCAAGGTGGGCGGCAATGTTAATGCCAAAAGTCTTAATATCGACAATAATTTGCCCTTTTTTTATCATATATTGAAGTAAAATGCTGTGAAAACACGTCAAAATGGCCGTGTCAGTTGGTTTGAAAATGGCTACCATGGTGTTTCCCCCAAAGCCAAGGGCTTGGGTCTTCTTGCTTTATTGTTCAATAAAAGATCTTTATTTCAAACTTCTAATATTTAATTATTTATTCATTTCTTTTCTTTTTTCCTATCAAATTTCCTATTGGGGTTTTGCGATAATACTGAGCAAACAAAATAAAGCAATTAGGTTTTATTTTGATTCAATAATTGGCTCAGAGATTAATGATTCCATATTCCACTCAGATTTTATCCTACAAACAAACATACATACATACATACATACATACATACATACATACATACATACATACATACATACA